GCACACTGCACTAACAGACGAAGCTGATAATAACTCTAATACGCTTCCAGCACAGTACACAATACTTTTAAGAAGGGAACTCAAGAAACATTAATTAGTTAAATATTCATATTACCCATTTGTAACATAGCATAGATAGTCTCAGATTTCATACCACCTACTTAATTTTAGCGTCCTTTATAGAATCATTTGTATACACCCGTCGAAGGCTATAGACTGATAGCCGAAAGCTCGTAGAAATAAATATTAAGTCAGAGAACGCTCAATAAATAATCTACAAATTACTTCAACAATTAGCTATATCGAGTGAGATGGCCAAAATCGACCTGACCACGTGGCTCAGTTGGCAGAGCATTGGGCTAGTATGAATTCCAAAGGTCGTAGGTTCGATTCTCATCGTGGCCAGGCATATTTTTCAAGCTTGCTCGGTGTGGATATACACTCAGAATAACATCACAAACATAATAGATATAGTCCATCATCATGAAAATATGATGCTACCTGTAAACCATGCAACATTGCTGGCGCACAAAATCACACTTGTAAGTTTCTGAATTTATTACTTCGCGGAAAGCAGAGTTTGGTACCGCAAAAGTATTCCAAAAACGAGCAAACCGAGAAGTCTTGGAGACAAGATCGCGCCAAATATAGAACTTAATTGTTGAAGGAATTTGTAGATGGAAATTTCGAGTGGAATTTTTATAAATGTTTTGAGCTAACCAGGAGCAGTTGCAAAAATACAACTATCAGCCCTCTGGCATCTACAAATTCCTTCAACAATTAGTTATATCGAGTGAGCTGGCCAAAATCCTGATATTTCCTCATATATAACTGCATTATAATAACACGCTGGACGGGTAACTAGAGACAAGATTTAGCCACATACTTCCCATCTGTAGATCAGCAAGTTTCAAAGCAATGCAATAATCTGCACTGTTGTCCACTGCCACAGTCGCATCTTTTAAATCGTATTTCTGGTAAGGAGAGGAATCCTTAAACAAAACATTCATTGTTTAGTTGACAGAATAAAGTCAATAATCTGCACTGTTGTCCACTGCCACAGTCGCATCTTTTAAATCAGTGGACCTCTAGTAAGCGGACAGTACCTTTCAAACAACGCTTAAAAGAGGCTTTGTTTAATATACAGGAGCAACAGTGGCACAAGAAATATGTTTCCGAGTAAAAGGGGTGTCCATTCCCATTTTAAGTCCATGGGTATCATTTCGATTATTGTATTTCACTATACTTACCAAATCAGTTTTGAATTCATACAGTGTTGTATCTTCATTCTTCAGCACGTAATAATGTTTGCACCAAAACACAAAACCTGGGGATTTCGCCCAAGAAAATTTTGCACCACATTCAGCTTTTAATGAAGCGACATTGGGTCCACTATTAACATCGTTTGGTGGATCTACAGAAAGAATAGACTTAATTGTTTATTGCACTTCTGCCCCCAATGGCCACGTTTCTATCTTTGCCTGTTTTAGCATGGCAGGTGCACATGCATCAAGGTTATATCTACATTGGAGACAAAACCTTCATTCTCCATGCACGAAAACTTTGCAAAATCGTCTGTGCAAAACGAGACCATTGGGGCGAGAGTGGTGAACAGTTCAGTCAATTAATACCTCAACAGGTAAATGCACTTTTTGTGCGTGTTGGTGTTATGTACTCAGGTGAATATGATTGTTTGTGATGTTACTCTGAGTGTGCATCCACACTGGGCAAGGTGAAAAGTTTGCCTCGGACCACGGTTTCAACCTTTGGGATACTTGTCCAATGCTCTACCATGAGGTCAAGTCGGTTCGAGTTGGTGTGTCGAGCATTGGACTAGTATTCCAAAGGTCGCGGGTTCGATTCTCACCGTGGTCAGGCAAACTTTTCAGCTTGCCCGGTGATGCACACTAAGAGTAATACCACAAACAAAAGGTGAATGCACGTTATTCAATGTACAATATTCGTGCATTAAAGCTAGTGTTTCGTCTTGGCTGATTATTTTTAAAAATTTCATAGTTACCATCTTGGCGAAATCTGTAAAACAAATAATGGTCTCTGAAATGATGTCTATCCAACACGTGATGAATGATATTTGCATTCAGAAGATCCTGCAGGAAATAAAACTTTTCTTTTAGTATACACCTGGTAACTGCTAAATCACAAGAGACAGTCGTTACAAACCTCTCCAAGCTTCACAGCATCAGCTCCTGTCTGAGCATGTCCAGTCTTTATAAACCAATCAATTAAGTCATAACCTGCACAGATTTTTATAGAAAGTTTATTTCAAAAACTATATTGCCTAAAACCACTTGACTAAGTTTAATTGTGTATAACATTCCTCAGTTTATTTATAAACTATGTTGGTCAAGACACGTAAATTTGCTAACTTCTAACTTACCAATGAAACATGACAGGTATGTTTTAAACAAATATACCCGGTTCTTAATAGAGACACCTCCCTCACTTCTTATTTCTTTTGATAGGTCATTCAACTATACAACAGTAAAACAGTCAATAACTAGAGGGAACCTTGAGGGAGATATGGTCCGTTAGAAAAACTGGAATAATTCAAACTACAAAGTTTAAGATACGCAATTTATTACACTGTTGAATCTGATCTTTCCATATGGTATTATATCTTTTACACAATTCACTTTTAATATATATTTAGATAGATATACAGGTATATCAATTTTGGACATAATCACAGTATTCTTCAAAGACCTAATATTACACCGTATTCTTCAAAGACCTAATATTACATAGTATTCTTCAAACACCTAATATTATCTAACAAGAAATCATCCTCGTCCCCAGGGCCACGATCGTGGGACGACGATGTGAATTTAGTGAATTTAACACTCTGAGAATTATCCTGGTGCCTGGATTCAGAGGTTTTCTGGTGTCAGGCCATTCTCGTCCCCAGGGCCATTTTCACTCGGTCACTCGTTGAAAATTAGGCTCTGCGTTAGACGACTAAAGGGAGAGATCTAATTGGCTTCTCAGAGAACTGCTATTTTGCAGATGTTGAGCAGTTTTCGCTGGCAAAATTACTCTATAAACTATGTGAACACAAATATTTCGTTTCTTCGTAATATTTCACTGTGACAATTGTTACGGGTGCTAAAGCGTCCCAGTTCAAGAGTATGCGCTTTAGAAACTACTCCAAGTTTTCATACACTTCCGGTTCTGTGAATCTGTGTGTCCCAGGGCCTAGGGAGTATGTGTGTGGCCGAGAGACCCTAGGGACGAGAGGCCAGCACTGTCGGAGTGCAGGTTATCTGGGAACGGATTGAAACCGTGCTGCTATTTCACGATGAACCGCACTCTACCTACAATCACTTTCAGAAGTTGTTGGGACACATGTAGTTTTAGATTGTACGTGGATCGTTACAGTTTTTTTACACACAATACCGCTCCCCTCCCCCTCCCCCAATCAATGTTGCTCCAACCAAAACACATCAAACCTGATGAGAAATGGGACAAAACATTGAACAGGGGGCGGGAGTGATTGATGTTTTGTTGAAATTCAAAGGTTTTGTGGCATCTGTCCCATGACTTTTGAAACTGATTGTCTGAAAGGCAATGAAAGGCATATTTAACCTCTTTGAATTACCGGGTATTTTAGAATATCAGTTTCGCGAGAATCATATGGCATTTAGTATAACATGTTTACTGAATTGCATTGGCATATGTAACGTCCTTACTGTGCTTCGGTTGTGGTCAATATCTTTGGGGGGTGAAATGTAACACAATCCAGCAGTGTATTATAAATGAGCTTATACTGAAAGATGTGAGTGTGGGGAGGGTAGTATGCCGAGCGAATGCAAGGGAGAAAATACATCTATCTGGTTAATTATCGACCTAGGTTAATGCTAAATAAAATGCAAAGGTAAGTTATCGAAGACCACTTAAAGATTGTGCATATTTGACATGAAAACATGTATGAAATATAAAACGGGTTGAACACGTGCTCGGTTGACACTCGGTTGTCACTTTGAAACACATAGTATTTTCATTGATATAACTTTCAATTGTCGCGGCATAATCATTTTCAGAACATTAAGTACTAAGCAAACGTGTTTAGGGAGCGCTTATTGATATATTACGGGTTCTACTTAATCACAAAGTATATAAATTGTATAAAATGTAACGATTGACACTCAACTCTAGACATATCACTATGATATATCAGATTTATTTATGTAAAAAAGTGTCAATCGATCCAAAACTTGGTTTAATCAATTTCAAACCCTTTCATTAATAGCAAATACATTGTTAGACATTCTCAACAGATTATTCTTAGCCTTGTTCTGTTTTAAAAGATGTCTAGTTGCCTGTTATTTCATATTTCTATAGTGACAATCGAAGTGTCAACCGATGTTAGTTTCATTGCATTCGTCTCGTCCGGAAATGCTTATTAGCATAATTAGCGTATAACACTAACATCAGTGTTGTATAATGCGTACAACGCCATATACTGCGAGTCCCTTTCGTTACATATTTTTGGAAGCCTGTGCAACTTTCTTGCTTCGGCGGGTCGCGCTAGTCCTCGCTAACGCGTCAGCATTGGGGAGGTCTATAAGCCCTGGAGAAATCACCAAGTTCGGGTCTTCCTTTATCACGTACGAATACGCTGAATAGTAATTTTTGAGATTGTCTGCGGAAAGGTTCAATTAAATGCCACATTTACTCTTCTCGAGCTTTCCGATAGCTCGCCACCTCGATCTTGTGGACAATTTTTTTTTGCTGTGTGAAGTGACTACCGCCCATTCCATGAGCCTCCGACATTCCCACCTACTTAGTGCTCCTTCCTACCCATGCGTCGACAATTATATCTGCAAATTGTGCTCTAGAAAGATGTGAAATGTCACATTGACCATAAGTGATTATAAAGCAAACGTTCTTTACCTTCGGAGTACCCGAATTAGCAGTACCCGCATGCGAAAGTACCCGCATGTGAAAGTAACCGGATGTTATATTACTATGCTATAAATTAATAGTAAGTGTGACATATCGTGTGATATAGCATAAAACAATCGCGATACCTATCTTTATATTGACAGACTATATAACCTCTCAAATAACCCACTTGTACTCTGCCGAAATTTGTAAAAACAAACAACGATTAAGAATGCTATATGACCTAACAAGTTATATTCATACCCTGTTAATTATTAACTTTGAGAATTTTAATGGAACTTAATTGTTTTAAAATGTTATATTAGATCTTCTGTGAACGAAATGGAGCAGAAATACTTCGTTCGCAGAGCATTCTATCCCCTGTACTTTTGAGATATACAATGGTGTTATGACATATGGGGCCCAGACAATCACTTTCAGAAGTTGTTGGGACACATGTAGTTTTAGATTGTAAGTGGATCATTACAGTTTTTTACACACAATACCGCTCCCCTCCCCCTCCCCCCACCCCAATCAATGTTGCTCCAACCAAAACACATCAAACCTGACGAGAAATGGGACACAACATTGAACAGGGGGCGGGGGTGATTGATGTTTTGTTGAAATTCAAAGGTTTTGTGGCATCTGTCCCAAGATTTTTGAAACTGATCGTAGCTCGGTAAGAACTGCTAGATTAGTCTTGAGTATGAACTAGACTTGGCATGAACTCCTAAAATACGCTTACAGAATTCTAAATTTAGCTTATCGATATCTGAAATTATACTAACAAATTTGTTCTTGAACATGTCGACAGATGTCGTATTCTAATATTCATATTAACGCTGGGAGCACTGACATGGTTGGGTGTACGTGTTGTTTGAAAATGCTTAAAATAATTAACACTTCTTTAGCAATTAAAGTATTAAACAACACTCTGAGACTGTACTGAATTAGTTCAATACAAGCCAAGTAATGCAGATTTTAAGATTACTCAGGTACGGTAAAATTTCTCAGCGGCCACAGGACATTTATATCGTATAGTATCAAGTATCAAGTACCTCTTGAAGACTTCTTTCACATGACATCTTCGTTTCTTTATCGAATTCCCATTTGAAATTATGAACAGAAGGCGTACAACAGGGACGTATAATTCAGTTGAAATACCTGTGCACAGAGCCTGTGCAATAATTAAATGCTCTGTAAACTTCAAACAAAGACGAGCGGAAACAGATGATGACGCAAATTAATGCTTGCGCAACCTGTCAAACAAATAATATAGATTAGTTTTGTTTCAAATCACGCCAGTTTGGGGATAATATATATGATTAGTATAATTACATAGGTGATTATTGAAAATTCTCCACGCTGATTGGTTGCCGTTGAGGTGATTATTACGCGATAATCACCTAAGCGATTTTCAAAATGGCGGCCGAAGCCTTTTTGTCAATTAAATGACGAAGAAATGTGTATTTTTTTTATTTTTTTCCATATAATCACCTATGAAATTATACTAAAACAATTATTCACCTCAGGCTCGGTGATTATCGTGAATAAAAACCTCGACTTCGTCTCGGTTTTTATTCACCGATAATCACCTCGCCTTCGGCGAATAATTGTTAAATATGGTAAAACTTCATGTGTACACATCTTATCTTAGTTTACGGTTAAGTCAAGGTCAAAACGCATGGTCGACATTTATATAAATACATGCTCGCGAATACATGAAACCATGTTCATATATTAAAGTTCATAAACCGTGCGCGAGTCGTGAATTTATACCAATATTTACATGTAATCCTTCTTTGACAATTCTATTTTACATACTGGGTCAAGAATGTTGATTGGTTGATAACGTCAAATTTGCTTCCGGTCAACCTGCTCGCTAATATTTTTGTCCGCCACTGGCAGTATATAGAGTTCAGTGGGCTACCATAGTAACGCGTCCCCAAGATCCCAAAGTAAACAAAAAGACAGAACTTACTGCAGGCTCAAGCACAAAATCTGGACAAAATATTTCAATTTGACGAGAAGTCGAAGGTTTTTGCGAGGGTTTTTGATGGCAAATTATGGTCAAATTCCCGCAAATATTTTATATTTTGAATGGTGAAGAGAATGGTCCATGTATTTTATTGCTTGAATGTGATAACGACCTTAAAATGAGTATGGCTCGTACATAATGTTAGCAAATAGCAGAAAGTCACTTTTTATACCATGCTTGGACACGGAGGAAGCTCAGAATAGTGAGGCAGAAAATTGCGAAAGCGAAGCTTGTGTTAGTCAAAATGGCGAGAGGGAAACTTGTATGGACACTTTAAATATTTCATTAACTGGGAATGGTAAAATAGATGCAGTATTTCAAAATGGAAGCCGCTGTAAAAGTGTTGAACTAAAGGACACAACTTCAAGCACAAATGTTGTTTGTACAAGTGGATGGTCTGAAGTGCTTAGTAATAAAACTCAAATATTCAATGGTGAAGCTAAGAAAACTTCACAGAGAAGAAAGAGTATTAGACGAATGCATGCAAATCTATCTGGTACAAAGTATGCTGTAGGTATGCATCACAAAAATATATAAATTTAGAATTAATGGTATTTGTAATTTACAAAGTAATCATAACTTTATTTATTATATGGCTTTTCAAAATTCTCTATTCTGATTGGTTGACAAGCGGTCCGTAAAAACCCATATCCAGACCGTGGTCCGCATTTTCCATATGTGGACCGGTGTCCCGGATGTCGTTTATCTGGTGGGAAATTTTTGCTTTGCAAACAGAAAGTTTTTTGCTTTTTAACTTTCCAATTGTGTGTCATTAAAATTCACAGATAAAAATTTCAAACAACCAAATTGTTTTTGATTGTGCATGCATGCCTACCATATATTGTCACCCAGTGAAACTGACGATAGCCGATTTAATTAGCGCGAAAAGCATATGCTCACAGACTCAGTTCAGCCATATAATAAACCAATTATTGACCTCGCTTGTTCGGTCTGTACTGTGAAATATCAGACCTCTGTTTTTTGCATGGATCTCACTCCTTCGTCACTCGGTCCATACTAAAAAACCTCGGTCTGATATTTCACAGTACAGACCTCACGCTCGGCCAATAAGCTGTTAATACACCTGGAAATTATGAGTCCAGAATATAGCAAGTGAACACATCATGAGAATTTTTTTGTCCAATAACTTTGAATAACTATATTTATGCCCACACAACATACTATAATAGTATTTGTTGCATATTATTGACCATAGTCATTGCAGCACGTCCGCCACATATTTTACGCCAAGAAAATTTTGTACAGATTTTTGTATGCCAGCTAGTATTTTGTATGCTAAAAAATTATAAAATTCACAGATGCCATTCAAGATAATGTGCTATGTACTAGCCCCACGAGGGTGGTAATAACTATAATACATCGCATTTTAAATATATAATAATATAAACTATGTTCAAACTGTTACTTTTATTGCAATTATTAATATTGATGCAGATCTTTTACGCCACATCTAAGGATTTCATGTAAAATTACGCCAGCAGAAATAAATGTCCTAAGTCTGTACACCTCAGATATGTGGCAGAACGTGCCTTGATTCCAACCTGGATTATAATATTGACAACAAGATTGCACATATGAGATCTTGTTGAAAACTGCCATACTCTGCAGTGTGGGTTTGATAGGTTTGATGCTAGTAATAAAGTACATTCAAAAATCTCATTAAAATAATTTTGTTATATCATGATTCATATCCCGGCTAGCTGGGCTGGCTCTGCTCATATGAACAGCATGTTCACTTGTGTACAAGTTCATCTGTGCATGTTAATGTGTGCAGCTCAACCACCCAGATAGTTTTTCTTAATTAGTTTGTTGCCATGTGTAGTCATGGTTTTCTCATATCCTTTCTTTACCCAAGTATGCCCTGATGGATAATCTATCTTTCTTTGGTATAAATCGAGCCATCGTCTCCCGCCAGTCCAGATGGAGACTAGCAGGGGAAATATAGTTACAGGGCCTGTTAAATTTACATTTTCCCTGTGGGGAGGTGTGGGTATTTTTCAGAGTGACATGGTACCATATTATGATTTGATATTTATATTTACAGTTCATGAAATATGTTTGTCCATGGAATTTATTGTTGTCAAAGAAACAGATCCTAACTGGTAAAATTGTCAAATATTAAAATAAATTATTTAAGTACCAATAGAAAACAAGTTGCATGCTTTAATTTTGTGGAGTCATGATTAAGGGGACATTGTAACCTGAGTATCAGGCCGTACTTTTTAGGGCACAGGCACGCCTGATCGTGGGCGAAAGGGAGAAAAGTACGGCCTGACACAAAAGTGGAATTTTGCCTGGTTGTTCAGTCCAGAATCTGATTGGCCGATTAGACAAACGATTTTTAAATCTGTCATTTGATTGGCTGGTGCTAATTAGATTATACTATTGTTGTTGATATATTTTATAACGATCACAATTCACAACTACAATTATAGCCGGCCCACTAAACGGCTGAATTTAAATTAAAACTGCAGTAAAATTAGAAAATAATCGCAAATTAGCGAAATATATTGCAAATGTAGCTTATATTAAACCGCCATCAGATTGCACTATCGACTGACGTATAGTTATAAAGTATACTTAATATATATATACTTTATAATTATACGTCACTGTTTGTTGATAAATACGGCAAGCGCCATGTAAAGCTCATTGTAGTCACTGAAACCTCTGCGGAGGAGAGAGCAATTGGGTGGCGATTTAATATAAGCTACATTTGCAATATATTTCGCTAATTTGTGATTATTTTTGTTAATTTTATAAGTTCATTGCAGTTTTAATTTAAATTCAGCTGTTTATTGGGCTGCCTATGCTATAATTAGATTGTTGTTGTCGTTGTGTGAAATTTAAATTTCTCCTGCAACATTTTGATTGGATACTAAATATAAACTTTGCTGTGGGTGGAAAGCGATCAGGTTAAGTTTTGTGTCAGGCTCTATTTGTAAAATAGAGCCTGATACTCAGGTTAGTGATCAGAATGTTCCATTGTCTTTTCATTGTTTTGAAAATCCCACTGTTCTCCATGCCATCCAGTCATGATCCAGTGGTCAGAATGTTCCATTGTCTTTTCATTGTTTTGAAAATCTCACTGTTCTCCACGTCATCCAGTCATGATCCAGTGATCAGAATGTTCTATTGTCTTTTCATTGTTTTGAAAATCCCACTATTCTCCATACCATCCAGTCATAATCCAGTAATCAGAATGTTCTATTGCAGGGTTCGTAGCGGTCTTTGAAATCCTTGAAAGTCTTTAAATTGGAATGCAGGTCTTTGAGGTCTTTGAAAAGTCTTTAAATTGTGTGAAAAAGCGAAGAAAAAAGTCTTTAAATTCTTTAGTGAGGAATTGATTATACGATTTCCTAGCTAATAAAATAGATTGATTGAATCAAGATTTTCGGAAATATCGACGAAAATGCACATTTTAGGATGTGATTTGATGGGACTAATTACTGGGTAAAAATAGTGCTTACACTCGCAATTTTTTTGACAGCTGATTGCTCTCAAAGGTCTTTGAAAAGTCTTTGAAAATAGGCCGAAAAAATCTTTGAATTTTTTTGGTCTTGGAGACTACGAACCCTGTATTGTCTTTTCATTGTTTTGAAAATCCCACTGTTCTCCATGCCATCCAGCCATCCTCAAGTGGTCTGAATGTTCCGTTGTCTTTTTATTGTTTTGATACAGACATCACAAACATCATATTCACCTGAGTACATAACACGAACACACACAAAAAGTATAAATAGCATGATTTAATAATTTGAAAAGGTTTCATATCTATCTATTTAGGATGGTATAAAACCGATGTGGGAAGATGAGAAAAATAAACAAGGTGGACGTTGGTTAGTGAACAGCAATAGAGGTCAACGAACTGAATTAGACAGAATATGGCTAGAAACGGTAAAATATTTATTACATTTTAAAATTGTATATTATATATTTGTATTAAAAAAAAATTTCATCAAATCTAATTTCCTGGAATGAACTACAAAGATTTAATTACCATTGTTGTATTTCTCAAAACCAAAGTTGAAAGACCAGCATCTTTCGTCCACTTGGCAGTGACTATAGCCCATTTTTAAAAATTTTTTATACACTGTACATTTCTCAAGCGGCAAACAAACTTAAAAAGTATGTTTAGTGCTTTATCTGTAAAGTTGTGCTAAAATGAAGAGATTTTCGATGTACGCCAAAGAGAAAATGATGTCTGAAGTTCAGTACGTTTTACTTCTGTTGCTGTATAAATATGGCGTCAATTTTACAGCATCAACAGGCCTTAAAATATTGGTCGGTCACGGACATTGTCTGACCCATTCGTCAAATTGTCCGACGTAGAGAGGAATCCACTGGACATTCTGTCCGACCTAAGTGAAACTGAGATTTATTGTTTGTCCGACCTGAGCGAATTGGTGTCCGACCGAACTGTAACTTTGTCCGACGCTTTCTCCATGCATGTAAATCAAAATGTACCCTAGTCCAGGACTAGAGGCTCGTATGTAATAATGGAGAATTAGAGTATTGTACAAAAATGAACTGGAAATGTTTTCATTTAGTTCAGAATTAGTACATTGTGCTGATATTAATTTGCGTTATTCAGACGAGCCAAACTGAACTGAAGGTCATCGGACATTATCATACATATGTCCAACCCAAACCCAAAGTCATCGGACATTTTGTCAGACGGCCCTGTAAAAGATATTTTAAGGCCTGAATGATAATTGTATTTAAGTTGACAATATTGTGTTTCTCAACCGTCAGATACATTTAAAAAGGTTGCTAACTGTGTAAATCACAAAATAAAGCTAAAACAAAGTAATTTTGAGAGCAACGCAAAAGGTTTTGAATGCTTTTCATTGCAAATACGCAACATTGAAAATTGAAAAAAATTCCTCTTAGACTTAGGTCAGGATTTTTTGTTTCAATTATTGTTATTAACCATTAATTTGCATATCTGCACCCTAATGCACCCCACTTTATCATTTTACTCTCTCTAACGCCAGACAATTGTATTTGTCAAGTGGGAGTCTTGCACATTAATGGTTCCACGATTATAAATTGAAACCAATACATAGAACTCTTGTGGTGGTGAAGTATGATTGATTTGCAAGAGTTTTTATTAATTACTTACAGTATATCATTATTTGCAGTTATTATGTCTTGTTGGCGAAGCTTTTGATGATTACTCAGATTTAGTATGTGGTACCGTAGTTCAGATACGAGCTAAGATGGATAAACTTGCCGTATGGACGGGGAACGCTAAGGAACAACAAGCTAATGTCACGATAGGGTAAGACAAAGATTATGTTGGCATCTGACTTGATTCAGTAATAGTTGAAGGATCTTGTAGATGCAATTATCGAGTGGAAATTTATATACATTTATTAGGCGTAGCCAGGAACAGCTACGAAAAATGCAACTACAGTGCATAGGCCCTCTGGCAGAAATTGAACCATGCTTGTATATTTAATTTTTTTGCAGGTGTATAGCCAAAAAACATTTTCAGTTAGCCCTGCGTAGTCCAAACTTGCTCGCTTCGCTTGAAGCTTGCACATTGCGACATGGGCACAAGAAATTGTTTTGAGTTATGTTTCATATGGTCAAAATATAAGAATATTCGAATAAGATTCGGCTACAGAACTGGAAATTTTAAGTTTTTGATGGCATCATTTGATCAATTTACGTTTTGGGTACAACTCTTATTAAATCTGGTCGGTAAATATTGCAGGATGTATTCGGAAAAATTTTATAAAAGCTATATACACATGCGAAGTAATATGACGATAGTCATCGGGCATGACGATAATTTCCATATATCGTCGCCCAAGTTTCTACTGTACCTTCGATACGATAATCGCGATTGAAAATATCGCGATAAATCGAAATATCACCCAACCCTATCTACTTTATAGCCTGGTTATTTTCGAAAACGACGTACTATTTCGTAAAACTGATTTAGTTATTTGCCATCTTAAATCTTGAAGTTATTTTGTTGAAGAATGAAAGTAGTGATACATTATAATTTGGTTCCAGAGTTCAGTTATGTTGCCATCTAATCAATATACACTTGTAATTTGGATGACTGTAAGACCCCCTAGAATTTTCACTTGTTCGTCTTGCTTTTGTTTTAAATCTTACTGCTAACGTTTTAGTTGAGGAAATATGAAAAGTTGAAGTAAAATTTTGATTTTTGCAGAAGAATAATTAAAACAAGATTACAGCTTCCTCATAAAATGTCTATTGGTTTTCAGGTAGGGAAATGTTATATACCCTTGCAGATTGAATTCAACTATCTCACTTTGGCCAATATTAAGTATCTAATGAAAATCCCACTGTTCTCCATGCCATCCAGTCATGATCCAGTGATCAGAATGTTCCATTGTCTTTTCATTGTTTTGAAAATCCCACTGTTCTTCATGCCATCCAGTCATGATCCAGTAATCAAAATGTCTTTTCATTGTTTTGAAAATCCCACTGTTCTCCATGTCATCCAGTCATGATCCAGTAATCAAAATGTTCCATTGTCTTTTCATTGTTTTGAAAATCTCGCTGTTCTCCATGCCATCCAGTCATGATCCAGTGATCAGAATGTTCCATTGTCTTTTCATTGTTTTGAAAATCCCACTGTTCTCCATGCCATCCAGTCATGATCCAGTAATCAAAATGTTCCATTGTCTCTTCATTGTTTTGAAAATCCCACCGTTCTCCATGCCATCCAGTCGCGATCCAGTGATCAGAATGTTCCATTGTCTTTTCATTGTTTTGAAAATCACACTGTTCTCCATGCCATTCAGTCACGATCCAGTGATCAGAATGTTCCATTGTCTTTTCATTGTTTTGAAAATCACACTGTTCTCTATGTCATCCAGTCACGATCCAGTGATCAGAATGTTCCATTGTCTTTTCATTGTTTTGAAAATCCCACTGTTCTCCATGCCATCCAGTCGCGATCCAGTGATCAGAATGTTCCATTGTGTTTTCATTGTTTTGAAAATCCCACTGTTCTCCATGTCATCCAGTCACGATCCAGTGATCAGAATGTTCCATTGTCTTTTCATTGTTTTGAAAATCACACTGTTCTCTATACCATTCAGTCACGATCCAGTGATCAGAATTTCCATTGTCTCTTCATTGTTTTGAAAAGCCCACTGTTCTCCACGCCATCCAGTCATGATCCAGTGATCAGAATGTTCCATTGTCTTTTCAATGTTTTGAAAATCTCACTGTTCTCCATGCCATCCAGTCATGATCCAGTGATCAGAATGTTTCATTGTCTCTTCATTGTTTTGAAAATCCCACTGTTCTCTATGTCATCCAGTTACGATCTTGTGATCAGAATGTTCCATTGTCTTTTCATTGTTTTGAAAATCCCACTGTTCTCCATGCCATCCAGTCATGATCCAGTAATGAAAATGTTCCATTGTCTTTTCATTGTTTTGAAAATCTCACTGTTCTCCATGCCATCCAGAGTCACGATCCAGTGATCAGAATGTTCCATTGTCTTTTCATTGTTTTGAAAATCCCACTGTTCTCCATGCCATCCAGAGTCACGATCCAGTGATCAGAATGTTCCATTGTCTTTTCATTGTTTTGAAAATCTCACTGTTCTCCATGCCATCCAGAGTCACGATCCAGTGATCAGAATGTTCCATTGTCTTTTCATTGTTTTGAAAATCCCACTGTTCTCCATGCCATCCAGAGTCACGATCCAGTGATCAGAATGTTCCATTGTCTTTTCATTGTTTTGAAAATTCCACTGTTCTCCACGCCATCCAATCACGTACCAGTAATCAGAATGTGCAATTTGATTGTTTTGCATATATTTTCAGACGCATGCAGATACGATGATAAAGACAGGATCAACGACTAAGAATCTATACACTGTTTGATGTTGGCCCAAGGTTGGAATAAATTCTAGGCCAAATATATATTTAAAACGAATTCGTGAAGACCAGCAACGATCGTTTTGCCTTCGCAAAGAAAGCTAAAGGCGTTTAAATTTCATCTGAATTAGCCCTAATCAAGCAAAGACGAGATTCTCGTTAAAACTGTTGTTCTCGTTTGATCAAACGATAAACGTTGAGAAAACTCTCAGATAAACTCTCGCTTGTCAACTCTCATGCAACTCTTGTTCTCGTTTGATCAAGCAATGAAATTTGAGAAAACTCTCATGTAAACTCTCGCTTGTCAACTCTCATGCAACTCTTGTTCTCGTTTGATCAAGCAATGAAATTTGAGAAAACTCTCATGTAAACTCTCGCTTCTCAACTCTCATTCAACTCTTGTTCTCGTTTGATGAAAGGAATTTTTAACAATGCTTATATTTTCTTATACTTGCTTGATTAGGGCTGAGAATGTGTATTAAATGGTTCTCAGATAAGTCTTCTGGCTTGAGCCATATATACTATAATTCTATAAACATTTGAACGTTTACACATTGTTGTGACATTAATACTCATGCATGCCGATGCATTTATCATACAATGAAGCATATTTTATTATATAATATCCCGTAATTATATTCGTTGGAAAAACAAGGGGAAATCCTGTATTGATTTCATTGCAATATTGTAGTTCTTATACAGTTTGGATGTCAGATTTCAAAACAGGGCTCGAAATAGCGGGCTGCCAATGGCCAAAAGCAGGCCATATTTTAGAAATGGCGGGCAAAAACAAATTTGAACTGCCAGGTAAAAAAAAATGGCAGGTGAAATTCTATCAGATACGTATTTTTCATTTCATTTGCTATACCACAACTCATCTACATACTACATCATTTAGTTGACTAAATACGTTTATGTTTGAAATGTAAATCCAAGTTTACTGTAGTGTTAAAAATAGACAAGTTTAAAAACAATAAAAATGCATATCATGAAAACATGACTTTTACAATATGACTCATTCGAGAATCGAGACATCGACATTTTGGCAGTTCAATGAATAAAAATGGCAGACTAAAATTTATTTCACCTGCCAAAAAATTTTAGACTGACAGGCCACATTTTTTCTCCATTTCGAGCCCTGCTTCAAAAGACTACAACTTTCTAATTTTCTGCCAAAGATTACAACCTACACTATAGGGGAAACGACAAAACAGACCTTACCGATTATTCTCTTTTACCCAATGACCTCGTTTCCATGTTAACTTATTTTAGCATGTCAGGGGCAGATAAAGATTATATTCCCATGTTTTCCTGGACGAATTTGTTCCTTGCTGTTCTTCGAAGCAAGTATTTGACATGAAAAAGAGGCCAATGGGTGGAAAGTGAATAAACGGTATTATTATATGGCTTTTCAAAATTCTCTATTCTGATTGGTTGACCCATATCCGGGCCGTGGTCCGTATTTTCCGTATCTGGACCGGTGTCCCGGATGTCGTTTATCTGGCGGGAAATTTTTGCCTTGCAAACAGAAATTTTTTTTGCTTTTTAACTTTCCAATTGTGTGTCATTAAAATTTACAGATAAATTTCAAACAACCAAATTGTAGTTTTGATTCAGAATGCATGCCTACCGTATATTATTACCCAGTGAAACTGACGATAGCCGATTTAATTCGCGCGAAAAGCATACGCTCACAGACTCAGTTCAGCCATATAATAAACCGATTATTGACCTCGCTTGTTCGGTTTGCACTGTGAAATATCAGACCTCTGTTTTTTGCATGGACCTCGCTCCTCCATACTAAAAAACCTCGGTCTGATATTTCACAGTACAGACCTCACGCTCGGTCAATAAGCCGTTAAGGTATATTGTTGTTTGAGATAGTCTTTCTTACCAAAGCAAGACTCGTAAGGCTTACAAAATAATCCTGAAGTAGTCACAGTCTCAGAATGCAGAGTCGTCCAAGAGTAAATTTTACTTGAGGCGAACCTGAGTTAGTTCTCGTTATGTTGTGTGGTCCATTCCCCTTGTTTTTCCATCGTGATGAGATTTTGTAATAAACATATTTCAGTTTAGTGTATCCGAGTTTATTCTTTTGTCATGTCATCAGTTCTAAACTGTTCTCGCCATAGAGGTCCAGTAAGGCTCATCCCTTATTGTCCAGTGCCAGTGTTACTACAGGAGGAAACCTAAACTAACTTTATTTATACTGGATAGCTCTATCAGTTCTAAACTGTTCTACGTAGAGGTCCAGTAAGGGTAATTTCTTATTGAATCCAGTGTTACTACAGGAGGAAACCTAAACTAAACTAACTTTATTTATACTGGATAGTTCTATCAGTTCTAAACTGGTCTTCCTAGAGGTCCAGTAAGGATCGTCCCTTATTGATTCAGTGTTACTACAGGAGGAAACCTAAACTAAACTAACTTTAATTATACTGGATAGCTCTATCAGTTCTAAACTGTTCTCCCTAGAGGTCCAGTAAGAGCCGTATCGTTATATTGATCCAGTGTTACTACAAGAGAAAACCTAAACTAACTTTATAATCTAGGATTAAACTAAACAGTAAATTAAGATTAAAGTTGATCGGCTTACAAACAAATCCGTTGTGTTGTTATTTACATTTGCCGTCTAATTCCATGACAACGGCAATTAGAACGGATGTAATTTGATACACTACATTATTAATATAAAAGCATTGCAAAAGATCAAGTACATTGCAAAAACTTTTGATCTTTCGGGGACAAAACCCGAAGACATGGCAACGCTACACGAAATGGCGACAGACAGGAGACGTTTAAGCCGAGGAAAGTTAATTTCGGACAGCTTGAACGATCTACCTCGTACAAGTCGCTACGCTTTTGACGGTTCGAAACCAACTTCGCGACAATCGCTGCACAGTCGATGCGCCAGCTTTCCTCAACGTTCAAGCAAAAGTCCTTTCTTCGTACGGCATAATCCGCATCCCAAAAGAGTTATCCATCTGAAAGGACTACTAGACGTTCCCGTTTGTACGGTTATCGACAGCAATTCGCACGAAGACCCGGCAAGGTTTTTGGTGAGAACGCCGGCTTTGCCCAGCGAAGGACCTGCTCGACTCCGAGGGCTTCGAATGCCTTTAAATGCGACTTCGTTTGTAACTTGTAAAGAGAAAGCTGTACCAGGGATTGGCTTGGGTAAGGACTCTTAATACGTGTGTATTTCGCGTAGAGTTTGAAGGTTTTGCAAATAAGTTTTATGAAGTTTTATTTGATCGGGAATTATCGACTTGCCTTTTGTGTTTGCGAAGCGTGTAACCATAGAAACGTGTCTGACTTTTGACGCTTTTGTGGATATATTTCTTGAAATGTTTATATGAATAAGTCAATGTTTAATTTTATAGCTGTTAAATGTTTACGTTGGAAAATGCAGTCAAATATTTGTGGTTGGATAGAAAATATTATAATTGGCATGTGCCTGTTTTCGCAATATTTAAAAAATATTTTGACGTCTAATTAGCACTGAATATTAAAATATAGGCCAGTTGGTAGCATGATGGAACCGGTGGGCTAAGGGGACTACGGCCCCCCCCCCTTAAAGTAGAAGTAAGGGGGCTAAGCCCTTGAAGAGTGGGGGGATGCAAAGGTGTCAGATTCTTTGCTGTCTGAAAATTTGAATGAAAAATAGAATTGCCTCGAATGCCATTTCAGAGACACTAGATTTCAAAATTTTCTGGGGATGTGTGCCCGGCCCGGACCACACGATTTTGTCTAGATTCTCGACCGAACAAACCTGTTGCCTATATATGGGTTGGCTGACTGATTCGCTAAACCAAGCAAAGGGTGACTGTTTGATGGACCACCCAGACTGACTTATGCCGATCATTGTTTAACACTTTCCTTAGTGCCGATTACACAGACATGGAGAGAAGAGCTTGCGAGGTTAACAGAGGCAGCAGGACTTAGAAAACGTCATCCAATCATTAGTAAGACTGGACTTCTGCAGCCACCAGGGTCACGGCAGAGTGACAGACCAATTGCATCAAGGGAAGGTGTGAATGGTGATCTACCACCATCAAGGAATGGTGAGATATTAATGACCAGAATTGTCATTCCACCATCTTGGCTATATACTCTCATCACCATCATGACTATTATCATCACCATCATCACTTTACTATAAATATATTATCACCAGTCCGTCATTACCACTGCCATCAACACCATCATTATACTACCATTATCATCATCACTACCACCATTCTCATCACCATCCTCATCACCACCATCCTCTTCATAACCATTATCATTAACCATCACCACCACCATGATCATCACCATCCTCATCATCACCATCATCACCATCATCACCATCCTCACCATCATCATCACCATCATCATTGGCATTATCATCACCACCATCCTCATCATAACCATTATCATTAACCATCATTATTCATCACCATCCTCATCACCATAATCATCAGCATCATCACTATCATCATCATCATCACCACCACCATGATCACCATTATCATTATCACCATCCTTATCATAACCATCATCATCATTATCATCACCACCACCATCATCATTATCATCACCATCATTATCACCATCCCTATCATAACCATCATCACCACCATTATCATTATCATCACCATCATTATCACCATCCCTATCATAACCATCATCACCACCATTATTATTATCATCACCATCATTATCACCATCCCTATCATAACCATCATCACCACCATTATCATTATTATTATCATTATTATCATTACCACCATCATCATCACCACCACCATCATCATATCATCATCATCAACAACATCATCATCATATCATTATCATCATCATCACTATCACCGTGATCATATCATCATCATCATCACCCTCATCATAACTATACTCAGACTTCCATCCCATCATATCTCATTGTCAGGTGATAAACCCAGAACTCCAGGCAATCAGGAAACTCCACCAGCATCTCGACAGTGTTCTCGTCAAGCTTCAGACAGACCGCTGGAACACATCATCTCAGTGACAGACAACGAAGGCTGGGTAAGAAAAATTAATTCTTTCTACAAATCTCTGACACTGTTCGATTGGTATCAGGCTTTAATTTGTTTTGCTTATGCTAGGTGATGGAAACATTATGCAATATTTTACAAACGGATTCAATCACCGCTGTACAATCTTGGCTTGTGAATGCGCCCGGTAGAGGTAGGATTTTTAATACATCTATACGCTCGCGAATATTCTGCGCAAAACGACATTTCTATATCTTGATGTTTGTTGTGTTACTCTGAGTGTATATCCACACCGGGAAAGCTGAAAAGTTTGCCTGACCTTGGTGGGAATCGAACCCGATACTAGTTCAATACTCTACCAACTGAGCTACGTGGCCAAGTCGGTTCCAGTTGGTGATATTTCGGAACTGAGTCTAGTTCCTTCGTTATCAATGATATTCTAAGATATGATGCTTTTGTGTGTTGGTGTTATGTACTCAGGTGAATATGATGTTTGTGGTGTTACTCTGAGTGTGCATCCACACCTGGCAAGCTGAAAAATTTGCCTGACTCGAACCCTATCGCCCATATTCTAGAAACTCGCTCACACTCAATGAGTGGAGGTTCAATCTGAGCTTCTCTTGAGTGTCAGTGCTGTTTCTGAATAGTTGGAGAGTTAGTAGTCACCGAGTTAGGTATGACACTAGCCCTCCAGTACTGGCACTCGCGAGAAGCTCAGATTGAACCTCCACTCATTGAGGTTGACTGTGTGTGAGCTTTTAGAATACGGGCGTATTTCTATGTCTTAATATTTTCAATTTCAGAAAAGGAACTTGTCCTAGATATGATTCGCGCGATATCGACATCAGACTATGAGTTCCGCGAAGGCTATCAACAGGCAGTGCGCTCGCCTATATACGAAGATCAGTTACTCCAACACGAAAGTACGCTTGATATTGACGCCATAAGAGAGTTTAATGAAACTCATGGTAGGAAATCCAACAGAGATCAAGAAATTTTTAAAGAGGAGCGGCAAACAACTCCTGCAGTTGAAGAACTACAAAAACCAAGGTCCGATTATAATTTCACCTTAGTGACACCGTAGATCAATAAGAGATGGTCTTTACTGGATCTTTCTTTACGAAGCAAATTTTAGCCAGAACTGACAGAGCTATCCATTCCTACTGTAGTAACACTGGATCAATAAGAGATGATCCTTACTGCACCTCTGGGAAGAACAGTTTTAGAACTGATAGAGCTTTCCAGTATAAATAAAGTTAGTTTAGTTTAGGTTTCCTCCTGTAGTAACACTGGATCAATAAGAGATGATCCTTACTGGACCTCTAGGAAGAATAGTTTAGAACTGATGGAGCTATCCAGTATAAATAAAGTTAGTTTAGTTTAGGTTTCCTCCTGTAGTAACACTGGATCAATAAGAGATGATCCTTACTGGACCTCTAGGAAGAACAGTTTAGAACTGATGAGCTATCTAGTATAAATAAAGTTAGTTTAGTTTAGGTTTCCTCCTGTAGTAACACTGGATCAATGAGAGATGATTCTTACTGGACCTCTAGGGAGAACAGTTTAGAACTGATAGAGCTATCCAGTATAAATAAAGTTAGTTTAGTTTAGGTTTCCTCCTGTAGTAACACTGGATCAATAAGAGATGATTCTTGCTGGACCTCTAGGAAGAATAGTTTAGAACTGATAGAGTTATCCAGTATAAATAAAGTTAGTTTAGTTTAGGTTTCCTCCTGTAGTAACACTGGATCAATAAGAGATGATTCTTACTGGACCTCTAGGAAGAACAGTTTAGAACTGATAGAGTTATCCAGTATAAATAAAGTTAGTTTAGTTTAGCTTTCCTCCTTGAAGTAACACTGGATCAATAAGAGATGATCCTTACTGGATCTCTAGGAAGAACAGTTTATAACTGATAGAGCTATCCAGCATGAATAAACTAAATGTGATTTAGGTTTCCTCCTGTAGTGACACTGGGTTAATAAAAGATGGCTCTTAGTGGACCTCTAGGGAGAACAGTTTAGAAGTGATAGATCTGTCCAGTATAAATAAAGTTAGTTTAATTTAAGCGGGTTCCTCTCCATAATGTACTTTTTGTTCATGCAGAACATCGGCATCCCAAAATGGAGTGAAGGCTGCGAACGATTGGATTGCGAGCGAATTAAAACCCAGTTCTCCTTTTAAACCTCGACCTGGCACAACTGACGCTCAGATAGAAGGTATGTATTTACAGTAGGATTCTATGGTTTGTCCACCTTTGGGAAACATGGCTAGGAAACAATGTTTCCTGGTTTGTCCACCTTTGGGAAACATGGCTAGGAAACAATGTTTCCTGGTTTGTCCACCTTCGGGAAACATGGCTAGGAAACAATGTTTCCTGGTTTGTCCACCTTTGGGAAACATGGCTAGGAAACAATGTTTCCTGGTTTGTCCACCTTTGGGAAACATGGCTAGGAAACAATGTTTCCTGGTTTGTCCACCTTTGGGAAACATGGCTAGGAAACAATGTTTCCTGGTTTGTCCACCTTTGGGAAACATGGCTAGGAAACAATGGTTTGCCCACCTTCGGGAAAACACTCCTACGTGTGTTTTAAATAGTACTTCAAACATTTATTATAGTAATCAAATTGCTTGCCGCTCATTCTTGAGCTAAAATTCAGAGCGCGTCTTTGAACTGGCCTCGTCATAGATCTAGGCCTTTCTAATGAGTCTAGGAAGACGTAACAGACGATATTTGACAATTGTTTTGTTTTAGAAATACGCAGTAAACTCGAGTCGCGTTGTTCACCTCGCGTGTTCTCGCATCAAAGCCGCGTGCCTCCTTCCCGACATTCATCGCGTGCCGTCTCACAACAAAGTGTATACGTTCCTCCAGCCCAGTCCCTGGACGCCGCGGCGCAGAGACCGCCCACTCACCAGTCCATCAAGTCACAACAGAGCGTTCTGAAAAGCATATTGGAATATAAACCCGAAAAAGAATAATGACAAATCGAGGTCTCACTTCAAGCTAATTTAGCATAAAGGATTTTTGCAGTCCGCCTTGTTCTTAACAAGCGCCCTAAAGAGAGGCCGTCACCCCCCTGAAAACATGTTGAAATTTAATGTTCCAGGGGGGTGAGTGCATCTCTTTAGGGCACATGGCCGCAAAACTCGTAAAAATATCGCGCGCAACAGGTTTGTAGCAAGCTTGTCAACAAGTTGTAACAATGCTGTTATTTTATCAAGTTGCTACAAGGTCGTCACTCAGACACTCAAACTTGTTGCCAAATTGTTGAATTGCAGGACGAGAACTTGGAACACCTTGTAACAAGTCTATTGAGCTCAACAACCTTGTAGCAAGATGTCAACAAGCTGGGAACAAGCAGTGCGAACACATCCTGTTGACAAGTTGTTGGAATAGCATTGCTACAAGTCTGCAGCAGGTTTGTTACAACTTGTGCGTTTTTACGTGTGTCCCCTACAGCAGTTTTTTTGCGAAGTGAGACCTCTGTATGTAATTACTCTGTGAACCGGTGATCGACTCTACAGACGCAAAAATCTCACATCTTGTAGCAAGTCTGCCAACAAGCCGTCAACAAGTTGTGTTCGCACTGCTTGTCCCAAGTTGTCAACAAGTTTGGAACAAGCGTTAACAGCTTGTAACAACCTTGTTGATATCATCAGACTTGTTGCAAGGTTGTTCCAACAAGTCCGATACAGTCATGATATAACAGTATAACAATATTGTTACAACCTTGTGTCATAGACCTTGTAACATTCTTGTTATATCATAACTGTATCGGACTTGTTGGAACAACCTAGTAACAAGTCTGATAATGCCATCAAGCTTGTTACAAGTTGTTAACAACTTGTTACAACAACTGGGAACAAGCAGTGCGAACACAACTTGTCGACAGCTTGTGAACAGATTTGTAACAACTTGTTTGCAAACCTGTAACAACTTGTGCGTTTTAACGTGTATACATTTATCACAACTTGTCAACAAGATGTGTTCGCAACAGGCTTGTAGCAAGATTGTCAACAAATTGTATCAATGTTGTTAGTTTATCAAATTGCTACATGCTTGTCACTCACAAACTGTCAACAAGTTGTTGACTTGCAGGACGATAACAAGTTGTTGGAACAACTTGTAACAAATCTGTCGAGTTTAACAACCTTGTAGCGAGCTTGTCAACAAGTTGTAACAATGTTGTTAGATTATCAAGTTGCTACAAGGCTGTCACTCACAATGTGTTGAATTGCAGGACGATAACAAGTTGTTTGAAGAACTCGTAACAAGTCTGATGAGTCAACAACCTTGCAAACAAGTTTGAATTGAATTGTGTTTTTTTAAAACTGCGTAAAAATCTCAGCTTGTCAACAAGATGTGTTCCCAGTTGTTGACAAGTCTGGAACAAGTTGTTATCATCTTGTAACAAGGTTGACGAGGCCAACAGACTCGCAACAAGTTGTTCCAACAAGTCTGATATCGTCTGCACGTAACAAGTTGTTAACAAGTTGATGACAACAAGCTCGTAGCAACTTGTTACGAACAGCCTGTATTAGTCTTGTTGGAACAACTTGTAGCAAGTTTGTTACCGTCATCAACCTTGTAACAAGGTGATAACAACTTCGTGTTTCTCAACAGCCAGATACATTTAAAAGGTTGCAAACTGTATAAACTACAAAATAAAGGTAAAACAAAAGAATTTTTGACAGGTTTCAAAACACTTTTCATCGCAAATATATGACACAGAAAAACAATTGCCTCTTATTAATTTATTGCTTTTTTATAAAACTAGAAGTGTCTATTAGTAGTTTCTATCATATTTAATAACCACATTGTTACAATATATATATATGCATACAACATGCTATACCATACGGTTTCAAGAAAATTAATGAATATTATAATTATTACGTCAAAATTATAATTATGGTTATAAATAATTGTTCATTGTTATTCTTTTGAAATTGCGCGAATCGCCGAGGACATCTCTTTCACATCGTCTGAAAAGTCGTTTTCTAAACTTAGGATGAGCCCTAGAAAATAAAAAAAACTATTTAAGCAGTGGCTTTAAGAATAGTGGTATTTAAGAATAGGCAGCTGTTGTGACAAGTCCGGAACAAGTTGTTATTATCTTGTTACAAGGTTGATGACGGTAACAGACTTGCTACAAGTTGTCCCAACAAGACTAATACAGGCTGTTCGTAACAAGTTGTTGCCTCGAGCTTGTTGTCATCAACTTGTTAACAACTTGTTACGTGCAGACGATATCAGACTTGTTGGAACAACTTGTTGCGAGTCTGTTGGCCTCTTCAACCTTGTTACAAGATGATAAACAACTTGTTCCAGACTTGTCAACAACTGGGAACAAGCAGTACGAACATATCTTGGCGACAAGTTGTGAGACTTTATACCATTTGAATGCTGTTCTTAGGGTTTGTAATCCAAGTGATTACAAACCCTAAGAACAGCATTCAAATATTAATACCACCAAGTGAACTGCAAGAAACCAGATCATAGACTTTATACCAGCCTGGATGATGAACAGTTTAGAACTGATAGAAAGCTTGTGTTTATACCTGTGTTGGCTTGACTCGTTGCGACTATTGTTACGACTAGTGGAAGGTAATTAAATTGAACAACCTAAAAATGTACAAATACATAGATATTCGACTAAAAAGCTCACATTAATTGGAATATAATTAAAAGTAGAGTCTTTTGTATGACGTTACACGCGCTCAAAACTAACGAATATATATTTGATATGTTTCTCAAGCGGTAAAGAAACTTAAAAAGTATGTTTAGTGCTTTATCTGTAAGGTTATGCTTAAATGAAGAGATTTAGATGGTACGCCAAAGAGAAAACGATGTCTGAAGTTCAGTAAGTTTTGCTTATATTGCTGTATAAATATATGGCGTCAATTTTACAGCATCAATGATAATTGTATTTAAATTGACAATATTTAACTATTATTTTGTGTTTCTCAACCGTCAGATACGTTTAAAAGGGTTGCTGACTGTGTAAACTACAAAAATAAAGCTAAAACAAAGTCATTTTAAGAGGAACGCCAAAAAGATTTTAGGTTCTGAAAACTTCTCATCGCAAATACACGACATTGAAAAAAATTCCCTCTTAAATGAAAAATAAAATGTTGTGAAATTCCCAAACATAGTGACATACTTGAAACGAGGAAAATGAACAGACAATAGTTTTGTTTTTTGAGAGACCAAGTTTACTTGCCTAAAAAGAAAATAGAGAAATATTATATCTTAATCCACTGAGAGCTCTCAGCTTAACGAGTAAATCGTCTGGCATTACACGGAGTAAAATATTAAAGTGCATTAGTGTACAAACAAGCTATGAAAGATTACTTAACGAGTAAATCGTCTGGCATTACACGGAGTAAAATATTAAAGTGCATTAGTGTACAAACAAGCTATGAAAGATTACTCTTTGAAGTTTCAAGCAAAGAACTTATGTCAGGAGTTTAACAGTGAGTGGTACTTTCTCATAAGGAGCTTAGCTTGAGATATCAAAGTATTTTTGATCGTTTTCAAGCAGCTTCAATAAAGAGGTTGCTTGTTGTTTCTGAAAGATATTGTAGTGTATGTATGTATGTATGTGTGTGTGTGTGAGGAGAGTGTCGCTTACTTGTTCGGTTGCTGATGCAAACGTAGCCAGAAAGCTTCCTCTTAGCACGTTGTTTGGTACTTTGTCTTGGGTTACTGGTGAATTAAATGGTTTGTAGAGAGTTAAAATTATGATGATGATGGTGGTGATGATGATGGTGATGATTATGATGATAGTGATTTATGATGATTATGATGATAGTGATTATGATGATTATGATAGTGATTATGATGATGATGGTCATGATGATTATGATGATGGTGATTATGATGGTGGTGGTGATGATGATAGTGATGATGATGATTGTGATTATGATGGTGATAGTGATTATGATGATAGTGATTATGATGATTATGATGATGGTAGTGGTGATGGTGATGATGATTATGATGGTGGTGATAGTGATGATGATGGTGGTGGTGATGATGATAGTGATGATGATGATTGTGATTATGATGGTGATAGTGATTATGATGATAGTGATTATGATGATTATGATGATGGTAGTGGTGATGGTGATGATGATTATGATGGTGGTGATAGTGATGATGATGGTGGTGGTGATGATGATAGTGATTATGATGATAGTGATTATGATGATTATGATGATGGTAGTGGTGATGATTATGATGGTGGTGATAGTGATGATGATGGTGATGATGGTAGTGATTATGATGATAGTGATTATGATGATTATGATGATGGTAGTGGTGATGATGATTATGATGGTGGTGATAGTGATGATGATGGTGGTGGTGATGATGATAGTGATTATGATGATAGTGATTATGATGATTATGATGATGGTAGTGGTGATGGTGATGATGATTATGATGGTGGTGATAGTGATGATGATGGTGGTGGTGATGATGGTGATGGTGATGATGGTCCGTCGTAATGATGGTGGTGATGATGATGACAAAATTAAGACCAATGGTACCTTTCACAATGGGAACGCCATCCTTGTCAGTGACTACAGCAGCCAAAAACTCTGTGTTCCTAAAATGACATATGGACGTGTCCATACTTTGAAATTAGGCGGTATTTTTACCGACTAGATTTTTGTTTTCTAAAGGCAAGTGTTTACTGACGAAATAATGTATCTTTATGCCCATATGTTAAAGCATACAATTCAGTCAAGACATTGTTGGCATGCACTCGAAATGGGAAGATTGTTAAACTATTGCCATTGCTCTCCCCTTGACGAGTAAAATCGTCTGCCTTTGACAAAGTCAAATAATGCGACTTAATGGTTAATAACAGGTCATATTAAATGCCCACTTCTAGGCGATAATAGTCACATGACACAATTTACAAAAAAGTATCAAAATAATTGGTTCTAAGGTTTATATAGCGTAATAAAATATGATATTCATATCAAAATAACGCTATGCTAATGTCTATTGTGAACTGAATATTTTATTTTTTGGCGCAAATATAAAAGCCAAATCTAGAATATTTAGAACTAGTGAACTACCAAAGCAGCTAAAAACATATGAACAATTTTAAAACTACCTTCTTAAAAGGGACTCGAAAAGCTTTTTTAATCTCTATAACATAAGAAATAAGCAAAAAACAAACAGATAAATGAAAAAGAATTTCAGAAATACAAATAATTCCACATTTTTACTACCTCAGACATAATTTTCGACTTGCTTTGTAATTTCCAAAATGACAGTTCCGCTTCGTGATGGCTTACATGAAGTGTCCCACCTCACACACTGCTGGTCGTTATTATGCTGAGCTTGCAGGCTCGGATCTTCGCACGTGGAAAAAAACAGCAAATGTGTTGTGGTTTTCATTGGAAAAAAAAACCGTCCTAAAATCGTTTAAAAACTTATTTTGAAAGCGGAAAAAGGTGGTTTATAGTTAGAATACATGCAGAAGTCTCCCGGCAAGCCTGGTGTCGGGGGCGATTTCGCTTCGATGTCGGAAAAACAGTACGAGAATTCGCATGCGTCGGGTAGCGGTGAGACGGAACGAAGGACCAGACCGATTACATTTGATGTTTATGTTGGCAGAATTCCTCCCGATTGGACCAAGGTTTGTGTGTAGTGTTGTCCAGGGATCAATTGTAGTATATGTGTATTGGTGTTATGTTTCTATCTTGTTCAGAGTGCAACTGTGCATTATTATAATAAAATATAACACTAATAATAGTAATAATTTGAACAAGCTTTCGTTGTTAGGGATAAAAAGTTCTACCTCAAAATACATGGAGAATTTTGACGTTTTGAGCAAAGGCTCTTTGTCTGGAGTTCCGTAGTTGCATCCCTAACAGCGAAAGCTCAATGTGTGTTACCGTATTGGGTTGTTCCAGAAAAGATCCACACTCCCCCCACGGAGGAAATTTCTGCCGTCTGGAGGGGGAGGGGAGACAAAATTGTTTCTGATAATAGTAAATGTATTAGGACATCCAAAGAGGGTAGGGGGGTTAACTTCCAATTTCCTCTGTGGGGGAGGTATGGTTGTTTTCTGGAATGACCCATTAAATATTAATACTCTTTGTTCCTAAAGCAGGATGTGAGCGTAAAGCCTTGGGCAGAGACGATGATAGTTGACGAGAACTCTTGCTTGTTGTCATTAGTTGCAACTTTTGCTTGTTGACGAGAGCTGCAACTCTTGCTTGTTGTTGAGAGTTGCAACTCTTGCTTGTTGACGAGAGCTACTGCAACTCTCATCAACTTTTGAACTGGTTCAAATTTTGATGACAGTTCATGAGAGTTTATACTCTTTGTTGGCCATGCCCCAATTTGATATTTGTGATTCAATTGTTTGTAATGACTGTATATATCTCAACGAGTCTTTACCCCCCTTTAAAATGAAAAATGCCATTGAAATCCTCACCGAACAGCGGGGTTTGTGATGTTACTACAAGGTCAAGTCTGTTTGAATTGGTTGATATTGAATACATTGATATTGAAAGAACTAGACTGAAATATCACCAACTTGAACCGACTTGACCTCGTAGCTCAGTTGTAAGAGCATTGGACTAGTATCAGCCCTTCAGGTATCCGTTTGAAGTCCTGGCTAATAATAATTTGGGTATGGCCAATACTGTTTTGCTCTATTGAGGCTCCAGCTATTAATTGATGAGCGAAGCGAGTATGCAAAGAATGGAAGGTCTAATCTTCAAGGGCGCTGTGAGTTGAGTGGTGGGCAAAGGCTTGCAAGCTTTGTCTATTTTGTATATTGTCCGAGTGCAAGACGGGTTATAAATGCAAGCTAGTGAGTACCGGCAAATTACACACAGCCTCTGGCGAATGGCTGCCAAATGTCTTCTTAGCGCTGGCGAAATTTGCCGTTCGCCGGCCTAAAACAAGATGGGTGCTAGTATCCCAAAGGTCGTGGGCCAGTGTGGATAGTTTGTATCGCGCGGTGGATATCTCCGGCACACAATTTTGATGCTTTCTACATACTATTAAGTTTTCGAAATCTCCGGTGCGCAATTTTCAAACTTTCGAGTCAGGGTCACAGGTTCAATTCCCACTGTGGTCAGGCAAACTTTTCAGCTTGCCCGGTGTGGATGCACACTCAGAGTAACATCACAAACATCATATTCACCTGAGTACATAACACCAACACACACAAAGAATATGGATCATATCTTTTGAATCCCACATCATTAAAAACCCATTGAGTGCAACTGCATGCTTTCCCTTGACAAGTAAAATTGTCTGGTGTTAGACACAATCAAATAATAAAGTAGGCCTTGTTACGGTGCAATGCAACTTAATGGTTAGAGAGTGTTTGAATATATTTTCTAGGAAAAGTTAATGGACATTTTCCAGCCCTTTGGCGAAATTAAGTCAATAGATTTGAGAACAGGACCGGAATATTTTAATGGGCAACAGATAGCGTGAGTATTTTTGACAAGTTTAATGATGTTGAACTGTATGCTGAAATTGCCTGTATATGCAGTAAATTTCATCTTCTTGCCTTTTCTTAATATTTTTTTATAGTTTTGTGAGATTCCCAAAAGAGGAAATGGCCAAATATGCAGTTGACTCACTCCTCCGTAATCCAGTTGAAAATGCCAAATTACAGGTAGAGTATTCATGAATGCAAGTACCAGATATCCCCCGAAAAGTTACGAACAGCTCTTATTACTTGTAAATAAATTCAAGCTGAGAAACACTGGAGACGACTTTGTGTGGCAGTTGTTTAATTAACTAAACACGCCAAACTTTGGGTCAACCAATTTTCCAAAGTTCTTTGTTATTATACATTCACATGCAATTGACCAATCACAAGTCTTACGATGTAGGACAGGAGTGTATAATACTCCTAAAACAGTATTATACTACACTAGGAGGAGTTATATGTACTGAAAAACTAGATAATATTTATATTTATTTACAAGAAATTAGTCTTCATAATCACTGTATGACACATATATTAGGCGGTGATTATAGAATGATGTTGCTATATGTTATTAACAACAACAATGGCAAAAGCGACAAACGACAATAACCACAACGACAACAACTCTAAGACTACAAAACGAACATATAGTACAATACAAACGATTCAAAACGATACTAATTGGCTACATTAAGTGACTTAATTGAAGGCATGGCAAGTGTTTTGAAACTTGGGGTTGATTGGCAAAGATTGTTAAATGGGATGTGATTCCAGGTAACGATTGTTCTTGGATAAAATGAGAACTTATATACATTGACACACGGCTGAATTTGGCACAAATGAAATGGCTAATTTGTAAAGAAAATGAGTTGGAACGTTAAGCCTGTTTCACGCTAGCACACAATTGTCTCCTGGCTAGGGTTGGGCGATATTAAAAAAATCATCTCACGATTATTGTCAAGGAAATTATCACGATATTTGATAATATTGCAATAAATGCAATAAAAACAATGACCACATTTTTCAATTTTAATTAATATCAAGCTGGATAGTAAACTTATATATAATCCACTAGAAACAAGAAATTAATGTAATAAGAAGGCTTTTTGTAGTCTAATATTTACTGTTCATAAACCTAAACTGTCTATGCAGTGTCTACTGTGTCTCCGCTGGTTCACCTGCAATTTCATTTCATTTTATCGTATTAAATTCGTATTTAATTCAGGAAATAGTTTTAATTCTTTTAAAAACTATATTTTCTAGTGAATTGAAAGAATTTATTTAGGATTTTATAAAAGCTATATACACATGCATGCGAAGCAATATCACGATAGTCATCGAGCATGACGATAATTTCGATATATCGTCGCTCAAGTTTCTACCTTCGATACGATAATCGCGATTGAAAGTATCGCGATAAATTAAAATATTGAAATATCGCCCAACCCTACTCCTGGCAAATGTAATCGAATAAATGATATGCAAAAGAGTCAGAGGTGTAACTTAACACTTGCCCGGGGCAAGTGAATATCATGACGGGCAAGTAAATGTTTTATCTTGCTTGCCCGAACGGGCATGTTGCCTTGCCACTTTATGTTTTCATTGTCCATATAAATTTTTTATAGTGCATGACATGTACTTGATTCAAATTTTGTTTTTTGTGGACCAAAGCTAGATCTGAGGCTGCAGTATAACAGCTATATAGAGCAGTGGTAGAATGGAATGCCATGTTGCCCCTTAATTTATACCCCTACCTAGGTACCCCAGTGGCCATTGTCTGATGGCAAGTGAATTTTATTCAGGGCAACTAATTTTCATGTCCAACTTGCTTTGAGGGCAAGCGACTCAGTCTATACTTTTGTTTGAGAGATCACTTATTTACCTCTGTCAGAAACATATACCCGCTGACAAAATTGCTATAGTGTGAACCAGGCTTAGGGCGTGTTCATATGAACCGGGCTGGCCAGTTAAACCAGGCTAGCTTGCTTTGCCAGGCCAAGTTGTTATTTGGAAACAAATTTTGAAATTAATTTCGGAAGTTAAAAAGTCATGTTTCAAAAGCAAATTGAAATCAACAGTATTTAGGATCTAGAAATTAGGATTATTTTGAGTTTTTGACAAATGAATGTTTAATTAAATTTTTTACTTTCAGGTAAATATAGCCCAAAGAAGCAAATATAAAGAGAGTAAAGACAGGTACAATTATTTACTAGCAAAACTAAAAAAAGGCCAGCAATTACCCAAAAAATGCAAGGAGACATTCAACGTTTCGAGTTCAACTTTATGAAGTTGCTAACTTCTCGACAAAAAAGGGCTAAAATCCTAAATATAAATAAAATGTGATTTTTATAGGCAAGGCAACTTAGATTTCAGCCAACCACGAAACAAAACATACTCGGAACTCAAGCGAACGAACCAAGGAGATTTCAGACGAGGTCAGACGAGACAATTTGGTCGTAGAGAGACATCCGAGTACGGCGGGGGATACGGTACTTCCACCCATCATGGACAGAAAAAAGAATGGAATACAGAGAGACAAAAGCCTCGTGAGGTTGGTGGTCAATATTCTGTTAACATGTTAATGCTCAGGACTCTCCCACAAATAAATCTCCTGGCGTTAAGGCCTACACCCACCATACAAGATTTGGCATGGCAAGACAATTTTTCAGTTTTTGAAAGAAAATAAAATTGTGTGTAAAAGGAAATTCAAAAAGATGTGTCGACCAAATAACTCACAATGTTAGAGTGCTTCTCAATATTTGAAAACATAACCCAGGACCAAGGTTATCCATCAGAGAAAAGATAAGTGTTGCGAGGATATCACGTTGCCTAAAATAAATATTTGTTTGTTTTTACTTGCACTTTAAAATGAAAATACAACATAATGGGTTACCGTAACTAGATGTCCAGATAGTTTGGTTAACCCATCAGGGTTTGTAGCGGTTTTTGACATCTTTGAAAGTTGATTGTCGATTGATTGAAACAAGTTTTTTGCAAATATCGATGAAAAGGTGCATTTTAAGATGTGATTGGATGGGACTATTTACTGCTGGATAAAAATGGTGCTTACACTTGCAATTTTTCGACAGCTGATTGCTATCAAAGCTCTTTGAAAAGTGTTTGAAAATAGACGGATCTTTTGGTCTTGAAGACGTCAAACCCTGCCCATTAATGCACGCTAAACTCTACCCTTGACAAGAAATTGTCTGGTGTTAAACTGGTACAATTTACATCAAGCAATCAAATTAAATTTGTTACCTTCATATACACTGAGAATTTTTAACTGTCATATTTTTAGGATCTTGAAAGAGTTGTTTTGGCGACAGACGTTGAATCTCCCGTGAAATTTTGGGCTCAAGTTGCAAAGGCAACAGTCGCTCATCATTTGTCGACTGCAAGTGATGAACTTCAATTTTATTGTCCAACCGGGTTGAAGGTCACCGATAACTCGCATCAGAAAAACAAGGTTTGTTTTTTATGACAACAAATAATTTTGTCATTGAACTCGTTTTTAAGTACTATTTAAACCACGAGCAGCAATGTTTTATCAGTTATAAAGATACGAGGCGGAGCCGAGTATCTTTAGATCGGACAAAACACGCACTGCGAATGTTTTAAATTGCTTCAAAAACGATCAATCTATTAGTAAGTTCATTGGCGAAGTAATTTTCAAAAAATATGTTTTTTAAGTCGAGAAAAGCAAAGCAAAGTTAAAATTTATGTAACTCATGGGAATCTCTGTCGCATATTAAGATACGACACATATAATTTTTTTTTGTGTTTTCCTTGTCCTAAATTATTAATGAGTTTTTAAGACATAGATCGAATTATTGCTGATCATTGTTAACTAATTCTTATTACCTGATCGTGAGGTCTATACAGAGAAATATTGGACCGAGGTTTTTTTTGTGAGCCCACAAGGCGAGGTTTGTACAAAAAGACCGAGGTCCGATATTTCTCTGTACATACCGAGCAAGCGAGGTTAATAAAAAGTTTATTACATGCATGGCATTTATAGGCATTTATACTTGAAACAAACAAGAAATGCATGATTTGAAATGCATATTAGTGGCGTGGTAACATTTGGTCGAAGAAAACAAAAAATACCAATGTATTCCTTCTTTTCCACTAAAAACCATTCGCAGATATCTTCTTAACAAATTAAATTATAATTTTTAAATTTTCAATTAGTTTTGCTGTTTTGTTTTAAAATGCATGCATTTCACGGAAAAATAATGGACTGCTGAAAGTGCTTTTCAGCTAATCACAGTCCGCCATTTCGCTGGAAGTGATGCTTGCCATATAATAATTTACTATTAATTGTTATATAATTAATAATTTACTAATTGTTGGCATTATTTTGTGGCAAGTAATGACGATTTGTTCGTGAATATCATAAACACTAATATTTTTTTACAAATGTCTATAGGTCTATGGTGGAATTTATCCTATTGATAATTTATGGTACAGATGTACTATTATCAAATTTCTTCAACAGGGAATGGTGAGTTATATTTGCTAGTTTAGTTTACTGGACCTCTAGGTAGAACAGTTTAGAACTGATAAGAGCTATCCAGTATGAATAAACTTTGTTTAGTTTAGGTTTCCCCCTGTAGTAACACTGGATCAATAAGAGATGATCCTTACTAGACCTCTAGGAAGAACAATTTAGAACTGATAGAGCTA